TAATAATATGTATAGCTGGGACTGTGTACCGAGACATATATTATATAATATGGAATAATTATCTGTATATAGAGAATAATATGTATAGCTGGGACTGTGTACCGAGACATATATTATATAATATGGAATAATTATCTGTATATAGAGAATAATATGTATAGCTGGGACTGTGTACCGAGACATATATTATATAATATGGAATAATTATCTGTATATAGAGAATAATATGTATAGCTGGGACTGTATACCGAGACATATATTATATAATATGGAATAATTATCTGTATATAGAGAATAATATGTATAGCTGGGACTGTGTACTGAGACATATATTATATAATATGGAATAATTATCTGTATATAGAGAATAATATGTATAGCTGGGACTGTATACTGAGACATATATTATATAATATGGAATAATTATCTGTATAGAGAGAATAATATGTATAGCTGAGACTGTGTACTGAGACATATATTATATAATATGGAATAATTATCTGTATATAGAGAATAATATGTATAGCTGGGACTGTGTACTGAGACATATATTATATAATATGGAATAATTATCTGTATATAGAGAATAATATGTATAGCTGGGACTGTGTACCGAGACATATATTATATAATATGGAATAATTATCTGTATATAGAGAATAATATGTATAGCTGGGACTGTATACTGAGACATATATTATATAATATGGAATAATTATCTGTATATAGAGAATAATATGTATAGCTGGGACTGCGTACCGAGACATATATTATATAATATGGAATAATTATCTGTATATATAATAATATGTATAGCTGGGACTGTATACTGAGACATATATTATATAATATGGAATAATTATCTGTATATAGAGAATAATATGTATAGCACAAGGACTGTGTGCACAGGAACATACATATTACATATAATATGGAATAATTATCTGTATATAGAGAATATATGTATAAGCTGGGACTGTGTACGAGACATATATATTATATAATATGGAATAATTATCTGTATATAGAAAGGGAAATAATATATGTATAGCTGGGACTGTGTACCCGAGACACATATATTATATAATATTATGGAATAATTATCTGTATATAGAGAATAATATGTATAGCTGGGGACACAATAATACCGAGACACATATAATTATATAATATGAATAATTATCTGTATATAGAGATAATATGTATAGCTGGGACTGTGTGCGAGACATATATTATATAATATGGAATAATTATCTGTATATATAATAATATGTATAGCTGGGACTGTGTACCGAGACATATATTATATAATATGGAATAATTATCTGTATAGAGAGAATAATATGTATAGCTGGGACTGTATACCGAGACATATATTATATAATATGGAATAATTATCTGTATAGAGAGAATAATATGTATAGCTGGGACTGTATACCGAGACATATATTATATAATATGGAATAATTATCTGTATAGAGAGAATAATATGTATAGCTGGGACTGTGTACCGAGACATATATTATATAATATGGAATAATTATCTGTATATATAATAATATGTATAGCTGGGACTGTGTACCGAGACATATATTATATAATATGGAATAATTATCTGTATATATAATAATATGTATAGCTGGGACTGTGTACCGAGACATATATTATATAATATGGAATAATTATCTGTATATAGCTAATAATATGTATAGCTGGGACTGTGTACCGAGACATATATTATATAATATGGAATAATTATCTGTATATAGAGAATAATATGTATAGCTGGGACTGTGTACCGAGACATATATTATATAATATGGAATAATTATCTGCAGGCCCGGACTGGCCATCGGGCACACCGGGCAAATGCCCGGTGGGCCGCGGTGGCCATGGGCCGAGGCCGGCAGGGGAGCTCCCAGGATCTCCCCTGCCGGTCTATGCAGGGCCGGCACTATCCGAGCGCCGGCCCCGCTGTTTTCCATGAAGGGCCGGTGAGGGAAATCAAAGATCTCCCTCACCGGCCCACATGCTGTATAATGCGGCAGCGGGCAGGGGGAGAGGGAGGGAGACAGCCGCTAGGAGAGAGGACCCGGCGGAGCTCTAAATTAGAGCTCCGCCGGGTTCCTCTCGCGAGATCCGGCGCGTTGCCATGGCAACGACCGGATCTCACCACAAGGACCACCAGGGAACCCCCCCTCCCAGTCCCAGGGATCAGTGTGCCGGTCCCCCCCCCCCAGGCTAAAGGTAAGAAGGGAGGGGGGGACATAATGCCTACTTTATTTATTTAACCCCCCTCCCCCCTACACACACAATCCATTCTAACATTTATACAGCACTTTCTCACACACAGCACTTTCTCACACACAGCACTCTCTCACACCCATCACTCTCACACCCATCACTCTCACACACAGCACTTTCTCACACACAGCACTTTCTCACACACAGCACTCTCTCACACCCATCACTCTCACACACAGCACTCTCTCACACACAGCACTCTCTCACACACAGCACTCTCTCACACACAGCACTCTCTCTCACAGCACTCACACACAGCACTCACACACAGCACTCTCTCACACACAGCACTCTCTGACACACAGCACTCTCACACAGCACTCTCACACACAGCACTCTCTCACAGCACTCTCACACACAGCACTCTCTCTCACAGCACTCTCTCACACAGCACTCACACACAGCACTCTCTCACACAGCACTCTCTCACAGCACTCTCTCACAGCACTCACACACAGCACTCTCTCACAGTACTCTCACACACAGCACTCTCACACACAGCACTCTTTCACACAGCAGTCTCTCACAGCACTCACGCACTCTCACACACATAGCACTCTCACACAGCACTCTCTCACA